TGTGTGTGTGTGTGTGTGTGTGTGTGTGTGTGTGTGTGTGTGTGTGTCAGAGAGGAGATAGCTTGGCTTTGGTTATATTTTGTAATTGGGAGTGCAGAATTTGTTCACAGTGTCTAATATTGAGGATGTGGGGACAGTTAATGAATTCAGGGGGCATCAGTTGGAGGTGGATGTGTGGAGGTGGTAGTCATTTGGGCAGAAAAGTAGGAATGTGAGAAGAGATGAGATTTGTGGGGAACCACTCATCTTGAGAGAACAGGAACCAGAGGGTGAGGATGAGTCCTAACAGTGGGGTGGCAGCTCCACAGGCTGTCATGTTGGTGTAAATTGTCTTTCCTGATAAAGGAGTGGTCAGTTGATGTCCAGGTTTTGTGGGATCATCTAATGCTAGGAAAAATCAAGATTCTGAAGCAGGCGCTTGATCCTCCTATGTGGGACAGCTTAAGGAACTGGCTGAGGAAGGAGAACAATAGTTTACTGTCAGAAAAAAATCTCAGAACACTCTAACCTTGTTTCTTGCCATACCATCTGTGATAACTGTACAGGTAATGCAGACAAATCATGCATAGGAGTAAGTTGGGAAGACATGGATATTCCTGATGTGATCAATGACTCTTCTTGACTTTCTGATTCTTATAACCATCACGGATCTGCTCAACCTACACAGGAGGGTAAGGAAATTGCCAAGACTCAATCTGTGACGGTGCTAACACAGAAACTCGCTGGAAGAATATTAAGAATTTGGCAGATGGCTGGGGTGATTTTTTTGTGGTCCTGGGAATCATCCCATCAACTGCTATTACTACCATGGCTGGAGATGCTCTTCACACAGAAGTTCACGCTGCTGATTTGTTAAAGAGTGTCATATGCATTCTCATGAACTTTGGATCCAACCAAATAAGATAGACCAGGAAATAGTTGAGAAAATAGCTGAACTGAAACAAGCTCTAATGCTCTTTGGAGATCAGTAAGAATTATTGAGGGAAGAAATGAAAATAAGATATGATTGGAATATTACTTTTTATTCTAGTATGCCTTTAGGATACAATGAGAGCAAACGTTGTTGGAGAAAAGTTAAAACACATTTGTTAGGTCATCCCAATTCGTCTCAGGGGATTTATACCTTACAGCAAGAAACTATAGAAACATTTTCAAAGAAGCTGTCTGGTGTAACAGGGATGGACAGTACAGGTCTTGCAGATGTAACTTCATTTATTCCCATGAATCATTTTTAGTAAGTTTCTTGCTCTTGTGATTTTTATAATTCTCTTTGTTGTGATAGTTTTACACATGTATGTATGCTTATTTATTGACATAAAACTGTTAAACTAGATAGACAAAAGGCCAAATTTACAAATCCATAATCTTTAACAGTAATTGTTATCCCTAACAAATCTGCTTAAATAAAGAAAAGGGAGTTGATGTAGTAAAAGGTAGAATGAAGCCTTTGTGTCTGGCTCTCAGTGAAATGTGTTAGCAGAGACTTTGCTATGTTTGCATTAATCACGGAAGGCTCTGAAATTATTTTGATACTGTTTGAACCTTGAAGAAAGGTCTCCCTGGAAAGTCTGCATGTTTTACCATGTGAGAGCTTGCAGCTTCACAAACCTTGGTCCTAAGACAGTCCTGTGAACTTGGAGTGCTTACTTGGAACTCTAAATGAAATTTATCATAGTTATTTTTTGTTTTTTTTTTTAGTTTTTTTTTTTTTGAGACAGGGTTTCTCTGTGTACCTCTGGCTGTCCAGGAACTCACTCTGTAGACCAGGCTCGCCTTGAACTCAGAAATCTGCCTGCCTCTGCCTCCCAAGTGCTGGGATTAAAGGTGTGCGCCACCACTGTCTGGCAACTTTCTGTTCTACAAATCTAGCCATGGTCAAGATATATATGGGTTGTCTGTTCTAGTTAATGAATAAAAGTAACTGGAGTGAGGGAGTTGGCCTCAGTCTTTTCCAAGAAGGCTGAACCCCTCTGCTCCTTCAAAAAATGTGCAGGCTTTTCTTGGTGAGCTGCTTTCTCCACTGCGGCACCCGTGACCAACACCAACCATTATCAGTGTGTCCGTTTCAATGACTGTCAGTTCTGCTGGAGTAGAACAAACTCTCACAGCATTATTTTAACCTGTCACTCCTTTTTAAAGGCAGCCCCAACTGGAGATACTGAGGATTAACACTTCATCAAAGTGTTAGAACAAATTTCATCGCTCATATATATGTATGTACATATGTGATCTACAGATACATTTTATGTCTCCCTATAGAGGGAAGTTTAAGACAACTAAAACAATAAAAATAGAGGTCATATTTACTTGTTCAAGTGGTGGATTGTCTGCTTGAATTCTATACAATACCTGGGGGTGCCTAAGCTAAATAGGAGTCTGACTTGAATTGATACATCATGATTGTCTGAACTGTTTCCTAGCCTTGATTCCAGGCACCTCTATGGCTTGGTTTTTGTTGTTGTTGTTGTTTTGTTTTTGTTTTTTTGGTTTTTTTTGCCATTTTTTTCCTAAGGAATGAAGAGTTCTCACAATATCAGACAGATTTTAATACTCAGTGGATCATTACCATTTTAACAACATAAATAAGGAAAGTTGTGACATGGATTATGTAAATTCATAAAATTGTTAGAATAAGAAATAGACTAAAACGTACATCCAAACATTTCTTATATAAAATGATTTAATGATAAAAATGCCTAGCTTCAAAAATGCTACCTACAGGAAAGTTATTAATGTTTTAGCTTATTAATTAAGTCTTTTCACACTATCATTGAAAGAAAAAACATAATGGGCCAGGGTGTAATTCTTTTGGTATAGAGTTTGCCTAGCATTCACAAGGCTCTGGGTTCAATATCAGGCAATCCCATAAATTACACTTGAAAGTACACCACAGACTACCCTAGTACCTTTGAGGCGGAGGCAGGGGGATAAGTTTAGGTCATCCTTCACTACATGGTAACTTCAAGGCCACACTGAGCTACCTGAGATGCTACCTCAAAACAATATCGACTAACAAACAATAAGGTAAATTCTTATGTCTAGTGTGGCCTTATTTAGTTTCTTATGCTGTCAGTAGTTCAAAATAAGTTACTAATAGATCTTACCTTTTGACGTTTAACATCCTAGTATGAGTCTACCTCCAATTTTTTAGGTCTTCTTTCTTTGCAAATATAAAACTAGAATATTTACTAGTTGGGGCATTTTATAATGAACATAGAAAATACACAAAATTTCTGAATATGAGCTAAAAGGTAAATGATTTACTTTTTCCCCAATATAGAACAGATGTATTCATGTACTCATTTGCCTACCGATTATTGCATTTTATTTCGTATTGAATCAAAACTCTAACACGCTACTTTATAGATTACTGAGGAATTTACAAAAATAACAAAACAAAACAAAAACCCAAAACCATACTAAGCTTTAAATCATTTTAGTGTAGAAGACGTTTTCTTTGCATAGAAATGTAAAGGCATTTTTTTTTTTAGGAGACCAACACCTACCTATTGCATCTCCCATACTGATATTTTGAGCATTGAGCGCTTACTCAACATGATGGTGCCTAGTTATTATAGGAGATCAAATCATCTCCGTGAACAAGGGAAATGTTAATGAGTGGTTATTCCTAACAATGTCAACATTGATGCTTATTGAAGTGGGTTGGGGGCTTCGTGGGTCCTTCCTGGTCCTTGGGAGTGTGGTCTTAATGCTTGGTGAAAACAGGCATTATTCAAAGATCAATGATGTAACAGTCAAGTCCAACCACCTATTTAAATTATTTTTAAATAAGCCTATTTAAAAAACAAAATTGTAAATGGAAAGCAGAGAAAGGTCGTTTATTCAACCTGACCACATTGGGAAGAGGAGCAGGGATATCCAGTGCAACCCCTTACCCAACCTCCGCCCAGGTCTGTCTTTGGGGTCTTAATGAGATCCGTGGTCCCTGGGACTAATTGGCCATCCTCATCCAGGTTCAATCTCATCCTGTTAGAAGATGCTCTGATATTTTTAAACTGTTGGAAATCTCTTTCCAGAAGACAGGTTTCCCTATGGCTGTCCCCGTTTCCTTCTCTCAGCCTGATATTCCAGGAGTCCATTGTTTCAGAGGCTGATAGACTGAGACACAAGCATCTCTGGAAATATCTGCATGCTTGTCGGGTGGATTACAAAACACGCCAACAGCCAGTTTTCAGCGCATGCCCTGTAGTCTCTATTGAGAGCTCGAGTCCCTATTTCTATGTAACATTTAAGGCTTCCCATTTTAAAGGTACATTCTAAGGAAAGGAGTGATTTAATCTTTTAGCCGCTTTTCTCATCGTGGGGCTCAGTTTTGTAAATCAGCTATGCCTCTGGATTTAAAATACTGACGGCCTAAGAATGATACAGGTCTTTTCTGACCCCCATGAACAGAGATGGGAAAGGTGACTGTAAACCATCACCCAGACTCGATACTGCGCTCGGGAATAACTCCCTAGCAGTTTAGGAGCAAGCAGAGAACTTCGGCTCTGCCTCTTCCGGGACCTGAATCTCCCGCGAGATTTTGGTAGCTTAAACTACAATATCGCGAGAACGGAAACAGGACTTGAGAGGCACCCCGGAACCTCCTTGCAGAACCCGGAAGTGTGGCGTTTCTATGTGTTCCTCGGCGAACTCTTAAGGAAGAACGGTAGTTTGTGAGCTCAGCCGGGACCATGCTGACTCGGGTGAGACCCTCGGCGGTCGAACGCCCGGGACTGGAGCCGCCGAGAGACAGGGCGGACTAAGATGGGGCCCACATTGCCCAAAGCCCGGAACCATGCTGAGTGTGTTCCTGGTGTTTTCCTATCCGTTCGCTTTCCCGGGAGGGTCAGGCCGGGGGTCGGCGCTGGGATGCCAGCGATGTTACTGCGAGCTTTCTCCACCCTGGGTGCACCCTGGTGATGAAGGGGAGATCCAGAAAGTTATTTCCGTAAATAAACTTTGAAATACTTTTTTATGTTGACGGCAAGGTTGCCGAGGTGATACATCTCTATAGTGTTACTTAAAAAACAAAACAAAACCAAAAAAACTTTTATGGCTTCTGAATTTTCCTTAGCATAGATTCACCTCTAACCTGTGCCTTACACTAGGGTAATAACCACTTCGAGAAACACCATGAAATAATTTTGTTACAAGTAAGGAATTGGTCCCATGGTAGGAACTGACATGTTTTTAAAAAAGCATTTCTTTAAAAGCAGGAAGCCTCACTCCTGATTAACTATTGGCAGTAGCTGGCCGAAACTGCCGGAGAGTTAGTTCTCTTTGGGGTATGGCTCTATACACCCACGTACATAACGACAGAACTAATTGGTCCGAGTCGATTTTTTAAAAGGATGTGAAGTTGGAAGGGGAACCCACCTGGAGAGTCTGGGCGGGGTTGGAGTAGTGTGTGAGTGTGTGTGTGTGTGTGTGTGTGTGTGTGTGTGTTATCACAGTACATTGTCTACATGTGTGAAAGTCTCAACGAATAAATACAGATTAAAAGAAAAATTTAAGGTCACGTTAGTATCAAATTTCAATAAATGTGTGATATCACTGTGTGTTGTCAGCAACTTTTTCTTATATCATAGCTGAAAGCAAAATCAGAGGGGAACCTTGCCAAACAGCTATGCAGAGTTGTGTTGGATCAGTTTGACCAACAGTATTCGAAAGAACTTGGGGATTCCTGGAGTACAGTAAGGTCAGTATGATTTGTCTTTGGTATTTTGTGAGAGAACAGTGGAAGTACATAGTAAATACCTCCTTGATGAGAGTGGCACAGTCCAGGAGGGAAGAGTTTACTCTACATTTTAGATGTGAAAGAATCACCTAGTATCCCTCTCTTGCTTGAGCTGTAGAAATGAGGGACAAATTGCAGAAAGAAAAAAGAAAACGTTCAAGTGAGAGTAAAATTGAATGCCTTCTCAAGTAATTACTTTTATCTGTAAAATGGGGATGTGCTACATTTACAAAAAATGCTGTAATAAATTTCAAAGAAATTTAACCTTCTGAAATGCAGAAAATAACAAGTCCCTAAAGTCAATAATCCTCTATCTTAGCTAAAGTCATGTTTTATTTGACAATTAGAGGGACCATTACATTTGTATCTGGAACATGTGCACATGAACAGACCAATCTAAATGGCAGAGTGGCTTTCGTGTTGCCATGGTTGAGATGGTGGGGAGGGAAGGCACTTGGCACTAAGGTTGGTGACCAGAGATGTGGGTTGTCCTTTGACCTCCGTGTACTGCCATATCTGAAATAAATTCGGTAATTTTTTTTAAACTGACAAATATGATCTGTGTTTTGGTGAGTTTTTGCTGTTGATCGGAATGGTAGTGAATGGGGTTTTATATGGAATGTCTGATTGGTATATATGATACCCCCTAGAATACAAAGAACAATATAGTCCTTCTGTCTAGTTTCCATTCAGTCTATTCATGGGAGAAGCAAATGGGAGGGAAACCTTAAACATTCCAGAAACATGCATCAATAATAGGGCATTTTATTTATTTCGGTGTATGGGTGTCAGTGAAAGCCACTGGTGACTTTGGAATTAACTTGGCAAAGGGAACCAGACATTCAAGGCTGAGGGAATGTTGCCAACCTGTTTTGCACAGCAGAGATGAAAACGTATGACTGGATAGTCTGGAACTTAGCTCAGACAGTCATGTCTCAGATGATTGTTTTATACCATCTCTTCTGAGATGAACTCAGTACGTATGTCTTTTCATAGAACAACTTTAAGCATAATTTGAAACACACATGAAGTCTTTATAAAGATAAACTGTGAAGTGCGCCAAAGATGATTTTAGGACATTAAGATATTTAGGAAACAAAATAAAAATGTAACTGTTATTTCAACAATGCTACATTTTATGTGTTTTACTATCAAAACGTGAATAGTGACATATAACATGAATTCATGAGAATTTTAGTATGCAAAGGTATTCATTCATATGAAATACCTAAAGAACCACACACTTTACATTTGTAGGTAGGTTTTGTGTTCAAATAATACCTACCTAAATACTTTGTTTCCAGTTTTTCTTAGGTTATAACATAGAGTTAAAGTAATTTGTGTAAATTCATTTAGCTGGTTAGTAAGTAGAGTTGAAACTTTTGCCCAGTCTGTCTGAGTCCCAATTTCCCACTACTGACAGTACTGTGCCTCATACCTGGGATATAATTAACGTTCATGGATGAATTATAACAAAAGATTTGTAAGAAGTGTTTTGTCTGAAGACTTTTTAGTAACCTGGTTATTCGTAACCTGTAATGAGTTGATTTTCTACTTTGTGTATGCAGAAAGATTTATAAATTACTATTTGACCCTGAACAAAATGAGCAGTGAACCTCAAAGCCATGTAATTAGCTGTGCCTTCTGCTCTGTCTACCTTTTTGGTAGGATTTCATGGTAATTTAAGTTTTGCATAAACATGTACTAAATTTGCCATAGGCAAAATAAAAGCTTTCTTAGAAAGGCAGACCATGGAAGGTAGCCTAGGGAAGTAAGAACAGAATTGTATGCTTGTTCTATAGCTATTTGCAAACATAATGTTACGCTTCATTTAAGTACTTTTACTATCAGCATTCTTCTCCCCCTCATCTAGAAAGGAATTCAGATTTCTCAGATTTCTGTAGCAGTGGGGCAGGCTGGGTTTCAAGGTCTCCATAATTCAGCGTTTGCTGTACTTGCTTCCAGCTTGTTCCCTTCAGGGAAGTGTGTATCAGAACTTTACATTTGCATCCATGTGATATCATCTTACACTATGCAGTTCCTTTCCAAACTGAGTGCACTGCTTCAGTTTTCCAGCAATTACTCTTAGTTCTCTCATTCAGGATACTGGCATGCATGTTATTACTGTCTTCTAAGCCCAGGCTGCTGTCAGGATTGACTTGGGTTCTCTCCTTTGGAGGCATCACTGTGAGTCTTGATTCCTTACTCCATTATATCTTTGCAATGAAACTTTACTGGGAGGTAGGTCTGGGGTTTTCTCTTACCTACTTAGAGGTGATCTCTGTGTCCTTGAAATGTACTGGTAATGCCCTGATAAGAGCCAGTTGTTTACCTGGTGATTTGTGCCACTCCTGCTAGTCTAACAAGGGAGCTGTAGACCACAAATAAGGGAACACCCTGCAGGAGGTTTGGTGTCTGATGAAAGCTGACTGGCATGGATGGATAGTAAAGTCTCTATGACAGAATCCCCAAAGACAGCTGGGTACCTAGGTTTTGTGAGCATCCTTGGTCAGTCATATTACCTCCCATTGCTAAACACTGTATTCTTCCACTGTCAAGGCACTCTGTTCCAGGTGATTGATCATTTTAAAACCAACACCAACCCTCTGCAGCCCTGTGAGGCACAGCAATTTCCACTCACAGATAAGTCAGATGGGGACACACGGAGGCCTGGTATGCTGCTTCTCAGTGCTGCCATGCTTCACTGTGTTACCCCGTCCATCCTATGCTACCTTCCATGCTCTGCCTTTCTAAGAAAGTTTTGCTATGTGCAGATTCTGAACCAAACATCTTAGGAGTGGAGAGGAAGGATCCTCTGTGCCTTTGGTACTAGTTGTTCTGCTCCCTCCTTCCTTCTAGTAGGTAAGAGTATGGGTTCAGATCTCTCAGCATCTTGTAGCATACAACCTAGATAAGTTATTGAAAAATCTCTACCACACTGTCCTGACCTGTAAGACAAGCAAAATAGTATATATTCAATCATTATTTCAAAAGAGAATATAAATTTCCATAAATATACCAGTGGTTCTCAGCCTTCCTAATGCTGTGACCTTAATACAGTTTCTCATGTTGTAATGACCCCTAACCATAAAGTTATTTTTGTTGCTACTTCATAACTGTAGTTTTGCTACTGTTATGGATGGCAATGTAAATATCTGTATTTTCCAATGATCTGAGGCAACCTCTGTGAAGCATTGCCAGGAAAAGGGGAGAAGCAGTTAGCCCTTTCAATAACTTCAGAGTGTTTCCATGAGTCCTATTTCTGAGACCAATCCTCCGACTGGTCCAGTGAGCACCCTCTAGTGGACAGGGAGGACATTTGTATAATGATTTGTCATTTTTTTCAACCCTGGAAATTCAAACTCATAGCAGCTGTCAGCTTAGCTTCATCACCGGAGAGGAAGGTTTGGTAGGGAGCAGAATAACAAGAGAAAAAGAGAGTCACAGAAAAGCTAAAGAGAGATTGCATTACCAAATATGTTCAAATATGTCATTTTCACCATTTTCATGTTTTAAGTGCCAGACTTATTAAAATAGTAATTACAGGGCTTAAGGTATAACTCAGTGGTAGCATGCATAGTCGGCATCTATGAAATCATATGTTTCATCATGGACATCAGAAACATAGAAAGAGTAATAGGAATGAAATCTGTGTATAAAACTGATTCCTTTACATTATCCAGAAGCCTCAGCAAATAGTAGTTATTACTACTGTTATGGACCCCATACAACAGGCAAGCCAACCTAATGACTGCTGCTCCTGTGACTTCTTTGACTTTCTCAAAGGTCAGTCATTCCTCTGTACAAGTTTAGTTTACGATCATTTAAAGTCACTTTACATAAAATTTAAACATTAATTGTAAATAGGTAACGGCGTATGGCCAAAGCATAGTATCTATTTAGAGAATGAATGAATACATCTTTGCAGGAAGACAGTAACAATTTGTTATGTTGAGTAAGAATAAAAAATGAGAGTCGCAAAAACTTTCACAGGGACAGATACTCACAGCAAGTCCCACCAGTCTCTGAGCCTTTCAGGAGCATGCCCACCCAGCTCCCTGAGTGCTCCCTTCCCAACTTGCCTTTTTCTGGTTCTCCTATAACCAGAAAGAAACAAAAAATGCAACAAAACAAAAAACACAGTTGCACAATCTACCATTTTCACTTCTATATAGCATTTCTTTTTAATAATTACTATGTAGATTTATTTAATTTGTTTTGCATGTATGGGTATTGCTTGCATTTGTGTTTATATGTACCATGTGAGTGCTTTGTGTCTGAGGAGCTCAGAAGGGGCATTAGATTCCTGGAACCGTAATTACAGGTGGTTGTGAGCCACCATGTGGATGCTGGGAACCAAACCTGGGTCCTCTGTAAGAACAACAGATGCTCTTAATCCCTTGATTCATTTCTAAAATATTTCTAGAATGTCAAAATGCACAGATGCCTAAGACATGGGATGTCAGTGTCAGGGCTTAGACACTAAATGGAAACTTGACAGTGGAGAGGTTTCCCAGTGCTGCATTTCCACACAGCCAGAGAGCTGCAGTTGACAGCTCATGGATATAGATTGGGTGAAGAATCAGTAACAGTGTGGGAGATGTTGGAGACATAACTCAGAAGAACTCAAGATGGGAAACATGAAAAGTGTATTGAATTTAACAAAAAATATTGAGTTTTAACTAACTTAAGTGGTAATTTTCTCTGGTTTATAAAAGTCCAAGATTGGCATAAAATTGATATTGAAACCTCAATCATTCTACCTAAGAGTAATCATGTACGAATATGTGGAAGTGAAAGCTTCTTTCATTAAGATACCAGTTTCCTATCAGATCTTACTCTTATCTTTAATGCATATCAAAATTTAAGTAAATTTTATTAAGATTATTGATAATGGAATCTAGAATTTACTATTTTTACATGTACAGATCTAAGGACACAGGGAGAGCAAACATAAGAGTACATATGGAGTGCATGTATGAGTGTGCATGCTAGGCAATTATGAATAAAATGGCAAACAAAATGGTTAAAAATGGTTTCTAAGCATAAAAATGTATTGAAGAAGTATTAATACATCAGTGTTAAGTGGACGAGGGCGAGTGTCAAGTCACTCCAATATTCACGTGCCTAGGGGACTGAGAGTCCTATATTGACATATAGTGGGGCTTTCCTGGGCCTGGGTGCACGAGCCTCAGCAGCTCCTAGCAGTGCTCCATTGGGCAGGTCCACTTTGACTGTTCCTATGGGGCAAGCTTTTTCTATTGTTGAAACAGGCCTGCCTCTGTGTACCAGGATAGAAATACTCCAGGCCTGTCCCTTGTGTACTCTTACACAGTGCTGCAGGACCAGGGTTTCAAGGCCAACAATTCATGTTAGGCACTCAAAAAGGTGAAGCAAGAGTTAGTCTGGACCTTATAGTGACATTCTGTCTCAAAAGAATGCTATTCACGCAAACCCAAACATTTCAGCAGGTCTCTGTGTAGATCATGAGGGACCCCGATTTTATTTGCTTTAATGAAACTTCGTTTTGTTTAGTTCATAAACAGAGGAGACTAGTTTCTGAAGATTCTGTGTCACCACCATAGTGGCTATTTCCAGGTCTGATCAGGCTCTCCCATCCTTAAGTCTGTGAGTAGCTCCATACCAGGAACTCACGGTTGTAACTGTCACTATGTATCCACATCATCCACCAGGCGCCAGCACCACAGCGAGCTCCTCCCCATGTGCATGTGCTGCTGCTGCCTTGGTCCTGGGACTTCTTTCTCATGTTCTCCTCAGTGAGCATGTTAGATAACGGACAGAAGCCAGGGATATTCCTCCACTGCCAATCTGCTTAAGCAGGATTCTTCTAAGGAAATGAGATTAATAACATTACTAAGAGAACGCAAAGAAAATCTTAATGAAGAAAAACACACTGCTTGGGGGTTGGAAAGGCTTAGTGCCCTGAAGGTGTGAATTCTCCAAGTTGAATGCTTATAATGTAATCCTTATTGAGTTTTCTATGGACGTACTTCCTTCTTTTTATTTGTTCTTCTGTCATACAACACGTCAGACTGCAGCCTCTCCTCCTTCCACTCCTCCCACTTTCCCACCACACCTCACCTAATTTTGAGGAGGTTCCTCCCTCTGGCACAGTCTAATCTGGAACTCAGCATAGAGCCCAGGTTGGCCTTCTGCCTCAGCCTCTTGACTTTTGAGGTTAGATATATGTCTCATGACCTCTGGGTTACAAGTACTTTTTACCTGATCAATTGATTCCTAAAACTTCCTTGTAGTAATAAAAATCCAAGAATATCTTTGTGAGTTCTGAAGAAAAGAAATACTGTGCCCGAGGCCAAACAGTTGAGAAGTACCCTTGTTTGTTAAGGGATGTGTGGTTGGTGTAAGCTGAGCTAATCCAGGCTGTTGCACATGACTGTCCACGTTGACTGTTCCCATCTGTTTTGGAGCATATGAGTGGTATATACATTCAGAAAATGTATAACGCTCCCTCAGTTTCAGTTTGGGGTCTATGTTAAAGCTGTAATTTCCAAAGTGTGGCCATAGAGAACCGAGGTCATTGTACCACCTGGAAATGGTTAGAAACTAGAGTTTCTGACCCTGGGTTGGGTAGATTACTCAGTGGGCCCAAGGGCTTGGTAAGTAAGCCTGACCTCAGCTCAGATCCACTGAATGCTGCTGCACACATCTACAGTCTCAGAGCAAGATGGAGGAAGAATTGCTTGAAAACCGGAGGGCTCACTGGCGTGGGGTACTAAGTGCAGCTGCATAAACAAGAGACCATGCCTCCAGAACGGTGGAGCATGAGTACTGACTCCCAGAACTCTGGCCTCCACAGAGGCAACGAAGTATATATGTACCTTCACTTTTGCACACCCACACCATATATTCACACACATGTAAAGAAGTTCACCAGTTTTCTTTAAAAGAAACAAAAAAATTCAGGCTCTATCCAACTGAAGCAGTAACTCCGGGCAGTATCCAGTGGCAAAGTAAATGAAATAGATGTACCGTCCACAGTAGTAAGCAAGAGGCAGTGAAAGGGAAAGCATTCCACATTATGGGAGTAATTGAAATTCACATGGCGTGTGTGAGTCACAGGTGTTACATTTCAATCCAGCCATTTCTCACATAAGCAACTTCAGGGCGAATAGCAGCTAGAATTTATTTAATTGACTATGGTTAATGAGGCTCCCAAAAAACTCATCTGGAAAGGTCAGCTAGTAAATAAATTAAATGTTTCCTGATGCATCATCTGTCAGTTGATGTGAGCTTGTGATTGTCAAGAGAGCTAATTGTTGTGTGGAATACAAAACTAGGAAGGTGAGTAGCCAGGGAAAACCTGCACCATTAGTCAGTCCACAGTGATGTTTAAAAATCATCCTTGGATCTGTATCATCTGAGCCAGTGGAAACCTGTACCATTAGTCAGTCCACAGTGATGTTTAAAATCATCCTTGGATCTGTATCATCTGAGCCAGGGGAAACCTGCACCATTAGTCAGTCCACAGTGATGTTTAAAATCATCCTTGGATCTGTATCAGCTTAGCCTCTTGTCAAGTCATTAATTCTATTACTGCAGAGTTCCCCAAAGTTAACTTTGCAAACCCCAGTTATTGTTGGCGAAGAGCTTAATGCTCATCGCTTCCAATACATTATTTTTGTGATAGTACTTTCCCCTCTACTGTAAAGAATACTTGGCCTTAAATTTCATAACTGGGGAAAACCCTTCTTTGTGCAAGTACTGACACACAAAAAAAATACTTTTTCTGGATTTTGTTTTTTGAAAGATTTATTATTTAATAATTAAATTTGAGCCTGCACAGGTTATGTGCATCACCTGTGTGCAGGAGCAACTGGGCTCTAAAAAGGGGCACTGGACTCACTTTTCGATTAGACAGTTGTGAGTTGTCATATGGGTGCTGAAACTTATTTGTGTGTGTTCTCCAAGACCAGTAAGCACTTGTAACTATTACTGAGCCATCTTTCTATCCCCAACAAAAATACTGAGTGCCATCTACAAAGCTATGTAAATTCTAGTCACGCTGCATTTGGAGGGCAAGACTTCTGTGTTCTGGAAGCTACAGTTTAAGGCACCGCAGAACACTTTGTATGTGTGTGTGTGTGTGTGTGTGTTATGTGTGTGTCTGATATCTTTGATACATGCATGGGAGTATGTGGTTACACATGCTGTACAGGCATGTGTATCTGTGCACAGATATGCGGGGAGATTAGAGCAGTCTTTCAGGTGTCTTCCTTTATTGCAGTCAGTCTTACAGCCCTGAGATAGACTGTCTCATTGAACCAGAAGCTAGCTGTTAAGTGGCAGGGAGCACAGCCCGCTGCCCCCTCAATGCTGGGGTTAAGGGACGAATAGCCTCCCTAACTTTGTACCTGGCTGCTGGATATCTTCATGTTTGTAAAGCAAGTTTGTACCCTCTGCCTTCTTTCTAGCCTCTGTGCGACCCTAACACATTAATCAAAAGTAATTTTACAATAAGCTAATATGAATAAAATCATATTTTTAAATAAAGTCAGGATGAGCATCATCACACTCTTTTGAGGAAAAAGAGAAAGTCAGGAAGACCAGTCCTGAATTAGAGTTTTGTCTTGCTGTTACAGGGTTAGTTATGAAAATAATATAAAGTGATGGATTCACTTTGCTCATAGATTCAGAAGTGTCTCATAGATTCAGTAGCGGGGAAAACTTAGTGGACCACAGTCACTCACATTGTCCGGGCCTGGGGATACAAAAGGAAATGGGAGGGGCTGAGGGAAAATTTATGTCCCCAGGACACAGCTCTAGTGATTACTACTTCCCAACCAGGCCTCACATCTGACCAGAGATTAATAATCTATTGATTAGGCAAAAGCCTCAGAAACTAGTCATCTCAGAGAAACAGCCAGAGGTCTGCAGTACTAAATGCATTTGTTTCTCAGCTAAGTCACACTGGCAGTCCAGACTTACCATTACAGACTCTGAAAAATCACAGGTAAATGAAGTGTAAACCTATGACCACATTCACCCTATTCATCTTTAAAATGCACTAGTTCATGATACTAATACTCATTTATTGCTCATTTTCTGTCACAGGGATGTTCTGATATCTCCATCACTGTGGCAATACGCCGTCCTCTTCAACCGATTCAATTATCCCTTTGAATTGGAAAAGGCCTTGCGTTTGAGAGGCTATCACACAGTCCTTCAAGGGGCTTCACCACATTATCCTAAATCAATGAAGTGTTACCTCAGCCGAACGCCAGACCAAATGCCTTCAGAACGACATCAGACTGGAAGCTTGAAACAGTACTACCTCCTTAATGCTGCTTCTCTTCTCCCAGTATTGGCTCTGGAACTGAGGGACGGGGAGACAGTCCTGGACTTGTGTGCTGCTCCTGGAGGCAAATCTGTGGCTCTGCTGCAATGTGCTTATCCAGGTACTGTCTGCTCTGTCTGCACCTCGAGTTGTTTCACACCTCAATATTTCTGATACCTGGAAGGCAGAGGAAGGGGTGTGAGAAGGAGTGTGCAGGGTTAGGAATCCTGAGGAACAGAAGGACACCGTGAGTAGGGATGAGAACAGAGCTGAGGAGGGATGGAGAAGAGCACTGTGTACTGCAGAACTCCATTCCCGGAATGCATCTCCCAGAGAAAGAGAGTGCTCCTAGGCTAATTGAGAAGGGTTTTGAGATTTTCCCTTTTGGTGCTTGGTTTCACAGGAGATGGCACTCAGGGCTTCTCTCAGGCTAAGTAAGAGTTCTGCCACTGAGCTCCTTATACTTGAGAGGTTTGTCTGTGTGTCATTGTCATAGCTCTTTATAAAACACACACAAATCTACTTAAAACTATTTCATTGTGTTATTCCTTAGACTGTACAGTTCTAAAACAGTTCTGTTCAGTGGACATATACTATGTAATATGTACAGTTTCAAATTTCTTAATATTCTCCTTTGAAAAAGAGGTGAAATTAATTTGACAGTTTTCAGAATACTAAGGTAATGACCTAGAGCATATAATCACAACAAAGGTGCTCCATGAAGTATTTTATGCTCCCATTTTCTTAGAGGTCTTTAAATTATTTTATTCCTAGAGCGCAGGTCAAGTTCTCATGAGCACATGTGGCAGAGAAGATAGTATTAGACAATGCAGTAAGTTCTGTAGTGACATTGTTACTGTTAATACTGGCGTACAGTGGAGGGCTGGGGATATGTCTCCAGTACAGTGTCTGCCATGTAAACATGAGGCCTAATAAGCTTGTGTTTACACACAGCACCACATTGAGAAGAAAATACTAGGCATATTGCCCTGTGCCTATCATTTTAGCACTGAGGAGGTGGAAAGACAGGAAGGTTCCTGGGGCTAGGACAGAGAGCTGTGAACACAGACAGATACCCCAAATCAACCTCTGCACCCTCTACATGTTTGTTCAACCAAAATGTGCACACACATACATACACACACAAAATGAGTCCGTTTCATTGTAAATTACATTAATATAGGTGATCATTTTACATCAAGAGCTCTTACTGGCTGAGACTTGTCTCCAGACTCTTAGTGTTTGAAATTGAACTTTGTTGAAGTCCTAGAGGCTTCTAAACTGTAGCACATTTTTCTTAAGATTATGGATGAGGGAAAAGCTTGCTTTTATTTGCAAATGTGGTGAATGGTCATGTGGACAGAGATGTCTTTAGGAAATGGGATGATCTAAAAAGTGATTGGTTCAGATTCTCCAAGCTTTCCTGTCTCGTAGAAAGGTATTATTTTTCCCCAGGACATACATACTGTAGCTTGTAGACTGCTAATTTATTTCTTCCTTTGAGAACATATGCTGTTGAAATAAAAGTTTTTGGAAACATTCAAACTGTAAAGCTACATTTGGGCTTGATACAAATATATATGGCTGTGGTACAGATATATTGATATTTAGGAGAAAAAAAACCCTAAGCACCTAATATGTTTTACATTTTGTATATGACTTTGAAACTGAAGTTTTCTGTGTTTTGACATAAGAAATAAAAATAAATAGTAAGGCTAGATTTTAGTAAGGCTACACGACTATTTTTATAATCTGAGCTGTGCTTTTTGGAATTATTTAAGGAGTATTTGTTTATACCCACCCTTATGTGTTCCTTGATGATGCTTTTATATTAACTCTTACAAGCTTATTAAATTTAGGAATAGAATAGTGAATATTGTAGAAGATTGAAGAGAAATATCAGAATCTGTTTCCATGTTGAGAAGTGGCGTTTCAATCTTAAATCACTTTATTCGTGGGTTATAGATACTTTCCACATTTGAAGTGAGGAAGATGATTGGCTCTGGAACGCAACGGTAAACTGATAACACTGTAGCCTTCAAAGAGGGGGAGAGGCTCACATCAAGGGCAGTGAACTATCAGCAGTGATCCAAACGAAGGAGCTTTTCATCTAAGTGGGACTAATGACAAAGGTTCCCTACAAGTCACTAGTGTCTTCATGCTGCTGTTTAAAGCCCAAATTACGTTAGCAATGGTATTCACATGTGGAACGCAGAAGCAATGCTAGTTGCTGCTTATAGAAAAGCAAAACTTCAAATGATGGCAATACTAAGTGTGCAGTTTATACAGCAGATCCACATTGGACATTTTCCTAGGCAACAATGTTATGTCTTTGATTGAAGAAAGGGTTTTAAATGATTGAAGAATGTGTTTACTTGTCTATCTGGTGATCCAGTTGCCTTCTCCTGTAACCCAGTACCCCTTTGTACCCTCTCCTCCTTCTCCCTCTCCCCCTCCCCTCGCGTCCCCTTCCCGTGCGGCCCCGCTGCCCCCTTCCCCATCCTCCCTCTTCCCTCTCTCCCACTCCCCTCCCCCTTCCTCTCCCCCTTCCCCTCTTTCTCATCCTCCCCTTTCCCCCCTCCCTCTCTTCTTCCTCCTCTTCTTCTTCCACCTCCTCTTCCTCCCCCTCTTCCTCCTTCTCCTCTTTCTTTTAAATTAAAACAACTATTGCAGGGCTGGAGAGATGTCTTCATGGTTAAGGGCACTGGCTCCTCTTCCAGAGGTCCTGAGTTCAATTCCCAGCAACGACATGGTGGCTCCCAACCATCTATAATGTGATCTGATGTCTTCTTTTGGCATGCAGGTGTACGTGCAGATAGAGTACTCATATACATAAAAATACATAAATCTTAAAAAAAACAGCTATGCAGTATGCTAGTTTTTAATGAAAAAGAAAAAACAGTTGTGTTTCTCATGTAAAACATGAACAGCATGTTCAGAAACAATGCAACTTAATAGAGTGGCATGGTCAAACTCCACAAGGGCTGTAACCCTTCTAGACTGAAGTTCTCTTACTGCCAGTGGTACAGTTTAGACATCTGGTTGACATTTAGTAGAGGAAATATTGAAATTTTTACTCATGTTTGCCCTTTCATATCTTTTTGCTTTCATATCTGCAGGCATTTTTCCACATTTCTATTGTTTTTAGTATTGTGTCTTTATTTACCCTTTCAATACTTGGTTATAAAGTACTTTAATGTAAATTTGGTTGTGTTGGATCTGATACAACCATTGATATCTGTGTGTCTGGATTCTTAAATCTTGTTCTAGGCTTAGGGAGTTTTCTAGTGAAGTCTATTCTACTCCATTGGCTTTTTCACTTCCTTCTGGAACCCCTGCAACTCATGAATTTGCTCTTTTGATGGTGACATCAAATTCTCACAGGCTTTGTTCATCCCAGCTCCCGCTATTATTTACTTCTTTTTTTCTCCAACAGTATATATTTATTTTTATTTTTCTCTGTTGAATTTTTTTTATGTATTTCAATGTATCCCCTTTCCTGGTTTCCCCCCTGGAACCCTCCTATCCCATCCCTCTCCCCTGCCTCTATGAACATGTTCCCCTACCCACCCACTCCAGTCTCCCTGCCCTGTCATTCCCCTATACTGGGGCATCAAGCCCTCACAGGACCAAGGGCCTCTCTACCCACTGATGTCTGACAAGGCTATTCTCTGCTACATATGCGGCTGGAACTATGGGTCCCTCCATGTGTTCGCTTTGGTTGATGGTTTAGTCCCTGGGAGCTCTGGGGGGTCTGGTTGGTTGATATTGTTGTTTTTCCTATGGGCTTGCAAATCTCTTCAGCTCCTTCAGTCCTTTTTCTAACTCCTCTATTGGGGACTCCATACTCAGTTCAATGGTTAGCTGTGAGCCTCCGCCTCTGTATTTGTCAGGCTCTGGCAGAGCCTCTCAGGAGACAGCTATATCAGGCTCCTGTATATTTTCAAATAATCTGTTTTCAAGGCAACTATAATTTTTCTTGTTATTTGATCTGTCCTGCTGTTCCTGCCTTCTATTACATTTAAGTATTTGTTAGATGGTTTTAGGAGTAGCTTTAATTTGTTGTTTCTCTGTTTAGGTATTAAGTTGCCTCTTTGTTTTTTCCTGAATCTTATCAAATTTCCCCCCAAATACTAGTTTTAGCTCTTTTCATTATCCAGGTGCTGCTTGTTTTATGCTCAGTTCTTGTCTTATAATTCTCCATTAAATGTGGTCATGATTCTTATAAGATTTCTAGTACCTGATGTATGAAATAGTCTGTGCATAAAAACCAGGTATTTCTTCCAGCTTTTTTACTATAGCTGTGTCTGCTCTTTATGAAATTCTAAGAGGTTTGCATGCATCTGTGGGCCTTTCTGATGCTTCAGCACTAGATGGCAGCCTATGTCTGGGTTTATTACAGTTCCACTGTTGGGTTTTTTGTTGCTGCTGCTGGTTCATCTCTCTGATTTCCCAAGCTGCATTTCATCTCATATCTTTAGTAGGTATGTAGTTCAGAATGAACTAGAGAAGTGCCTAAATGTATAGTTTATCACTACAAACCTTACTCCAAGGCTGGAGTAGGCTCATGTGGCTCACCTGCAGTCACTGGTCTATGGTCAGGCACTAAAGCTCAACCTGGTCTCCGTGCCACAGGGGAAAGGACCAAGCCAGGCTCTGACTTGGTGGCTTGTTGCATTTTGATAAATATCTCCCTTCTTTTTGCTTAAAAATCAGCACCCCTTTTACAATTGATGTTTGTGTATGTGTGTGTGGAGGTGCACATGTCCACTTGCCAGGACACATTTGTGGATGTCAAACTATGGCTTGCAGTAGTCAGCTATCTCCTTCCAACATGTGCATCCTGGGGATCAACTTTCAGGAGTCAGTTATCTCCTTCCTCACTGCCTCTATGGCTCAGATGCATGTTGTCAAGTTTTGGGACAGACCATTTCACCACCCCAGTACCTCTCTTTACTTGAAGTAGCTACCTGCTTCCACATGATTTGTCAGGGAGGAAAGAGAATTGATAGTTTCATGGTTAAAAATACTGAAAACCAAGATTATATCCAGAGCCCACAGCCTACTGAGACCATCATAACATAGGGACACTGAGACCTACGTTGCTATATACTCTCTGTTCTTTAGGTGGATTTATGTCCACCCATGGTCCTGAACATGTATAACTGGCCACAAGAGATACTGGCAAGGTTAGAAACTTAGTTGATGTTAGCATTAAGACAGATATAGGACCTCAGTTCATAGGCACTGGCATGTGGACTAGGATTTCTAGAATGTGCTCACCTTTACCAGCCTGGCACTGAGTTCTTGCATCAGTTTTAAAATAATATTTACCTCAGCATACCGCAAATGCATTAAGGAAGAGAAATCTAAATACTGCCCTGGGAGTACTTTTACCAACAGTGAGCCCAGACTTGAATTCTCTCTTCTCTCTCCCTGTGTCTTCCATATTTCTCCTGTCTGTAATCTGAGTGTGAACCTGCGCTTGCCTAACTGCTGTCTTGTCTTTTCTGTGTTTGTGTCTATGTCTGTATCTCCAGTAAAGAGCAGTGTTCTGTAGTTATTTGAACAGTACAGAAAATACCACATGGGAAGGGATGGGGAATACAGAAATTCTGAACAGTGTTTTACAAGAGATGACACTTTACTAATGCCACCTGACCCTTAGAAACAGTACTGCAATCATCTTTGCAAACAGACTTACCAGCCGACACTTCCAATATTCATTGGGAATAATTGCTTCCTAAGGTTGCTTTCAGCCTACCTGCTATGCTTCCTCATTTATATAATATACACACATATATGTATTACTTGTGGGTAGGGGACAAGGAAGTACATATATTTTAAGATTAAAGCTATATATTTGCTTAGATATATAGGAAGTCCACAAAATAATTATGGCAAGTCGCTAAATGTTTTTTCTTAAAGGCAAGTCAAACAAACAGGCTGAGTACATAGTACTCAGTCTTAAGTACTTAGGTTACCAGTCTTAAGTAACCTCAGAGTGCATTTCTAACTCTGCCTGCGAATTTTAGCAAAAGGTAGTCTTTTTCATCACGAGAGATGTGTTCATAGTAATGTATTGCCACAGTTCTAAGGCAAAGTCCTGTGCTCATTGTTCTGTCTTACCTACTAGTGGGATGGGCCCTGTTTTTTGTTTGTTTGTCTTCCAAGGTCATAGAAGGAGTGTAGAGTTAGTCTCTGAACTCTCAGGCAGTCTCAACACAGTGCTCCAAGACAAAGTCTTGTGCTCAGTTTTCTGCTTGCTTTCCAGGTGCTGGGAGCCTCACTCACATCTCCAGCTCTGCTTCGAAAGGTGGAGTAGTGGCAGCATCTAGCTGCCTAGCTAGGGAGTCACCAAGTAGTAGTCTAGGTGGAGAGCTGCAAGACTATCTGGCACAGGGTTTCCTTGGGGCAGACCATGCTACTGGATGTCAGGTCAAAGCCTGGACTTCCTTCTTTTCCCCTGCTCCAAGTAGGAGGAGTCTCTCATCACACTGCCTAGACTTGGAGGAAGGTTGACATGGTCATCTTTTTCTTTTCTGCTTCCTCGGTGCATCTTCTTACACTATGCTAAAGCCAGACGCTTTCTCCCCTGGCTCTCCAAGCTCTTCAGAGCAGAGTCTCTTTGAGAGGACCACCATTGAAGGGTCTTCTTCAGCCACCTTCCCGTTCTCAGTTTCTGTCACATTTAATCACAACAACTATGCGGGTATGGTCCCCATTTTACCCATCCCCATGAGGACACCATCGCTGTCACAGAGCTAAGTAACTTTCCTAGGCTCAGTTTGAACCCCTGTATCTCTTACTGGGTGCTCGAGTACTTACTTTTTTTTTTAATACACTGTATCACTTTCCTTCATTTAAAATGATTGCCTTCTACCGGGAAGGCACTTTACACACTTATCAGAATTTATTGCTTAGTGTCAACAGCTGATACGTGAGGGTGAAAACTGTATGTGAGCTTTGGTTGTTAAGCATCTCTAGGAATCTGTAAGTTTTCAAATTAAACTTGATTGAATAAATGTGAGAGCTTCTAGGAGGGTGTGAGGCACAACATTGTATAAATAGTTTATAAAGTATGCATTTATTTTTGTTTTTAAAGTTATCATAACGCTTACCTCTGAGCTGTATCTCCGAAGCACTGATTTTTCTGAAGTTTATTTGCTACAAAGTAGAATTTACCAATGACATTGCCTTGGAGTACTTTGGAACTTTTTAATCCTTTATATTCAGGTTATCTTCTCTGTAATGAATATGATCGCCTGAGAGGAAGATGGCTGAGACAGACGTTGGAATCGTTCATCCCACAGCCTTTGATAGATGTAATTAAAGTGTCTGAATTGGATGGCAGAGAAATGGGAGATGCCCAGCCCGCATCATTTGACAAGGTACTTTTATTGTATTGTGAAAAACTGACAGACTCCCAGTGATACGGCATTGTGTGGCTCTGTTGTTCTTTGCCTTCTGCTTCCAGATGGTACACTTTGTCAGGACTCGGGGAGATTTTGATAAAGTGGATGTGGACACATTTTTCATTTGATGGTTACTATGGTTCAGTGGAAACAGTGATGTTGGGTTCGGGGATTATAGAAAGTTATTTTCTGGACCTCAAAGTTACTCTGGAAATGATCAGTTATCCTTTGAACCAGTAAAAAGAAAAAATTGTACATTTTACTTTAATTCAGTAACATTTCATATCAGAGTGTGATAGATGAGGAAAGGTCATTTCAATAAATTAAAATTGAATTTTTAATCGTTAAAAATTAACACTGACCCTGGGTTCAGTTCCCCACAATGGAAAATTTTATTAGGGTAGAAAAAAATACTTAGAGTTCAGAAATAGTCTCACTTTCTGAAGATGAGTTAGATTTCTAAATGTAGCTGTAGTCATCATGAATATTAAGTAGAGCCAGGTGTAATGGTGCATGCCTTTTGATACTTTTGACACTGATACTGCATAAAGTTTTCTGTAAAGGGAGACAAATTTATAAAAGGACTTAGTGTGTCATATCTTGGGTCCCTAAGGTGCTGGTTTTATTTATGCGCTGTTTGTCATGTAGCGGCTCCACATACCGTGGCCTAAGTATGTTTGCACCGTTTCTCTGTTTTCTCCAGGTGTTGGTTGACGCTCCATGTTCAAATGATCGGAGCTGGCTGTTCTCGTCGGACTCTCAGAAAGCAGCCCACAGGATCCATCACAGGAACAGTTTGCCTGTTTTACAAGCCGAGCTCTTAAGGTGAGGATTGTTTATTCCAAAGCGTATTTGGGTTCCTGATATAATTCAAATAGTTGCAGTCAAGCATGTTAGCTGGGCAAATGGAAAACTTCCTTGTAGGTATTCTGATTACTTCCCCAAAAGGTGCAAACAAAATGTTCCAGGCCATCTTTTTAAGCTCTTGTACTGTATTGTTTTCTTTCTCAATGTGTCTCTCAAAAGCCATGAAGGATTTTGCTGTGATTCAGAGTTGTTTTCTGTCTAGGTTTGTCCCAGGCCTGGGGCTTTAACCAAAATTGGAGCAGTCTTCCCGTGGAAGTAGTTTTGGACCAGATTCATATTTTGGTAATTTTCTTGAGAAGTGGATCTCCTAGGAAGATGTAAACACTTGTTCACATTTGTCTACCTCAATTTTCTTTCTTTTTTTCTAAGCTGTGAGTAAGCACTGAGGCTTCCAGAGGTATTTTATTTCACCTCTCATGGGATAGCCTTCACTAGTTTTAAATTGTTTCTTTTATTTACATTCTAGATGTTGTGTCCCCCTTCCTGGTCCCCCCTCCAAGAGTTCTTCACCCCATGCCCCCTCCTCTTTGCCTCTGAGAGATTGCTCACCCATCCTCCTCACCCACCCACTCCCTTCATCCACCCAGAGACTGAGCCACCAACCAAAGAGCATTCACAGGCTGGAACGAGGCCCCCAGCACATATGTAGCAGTGGACTGCCTTCACTATTTCTTATTTCTGCCATTACCTAATCTCTTTGGATTTTCTATTTTATTTAATGCTTTTTCTTCTCATTTTGTCTCAATTTATTGTTTTCTGCTTGCTTAATTTTTACAAACCCTTTCTTACTAAAGCTCTAAAATATGTACTAATTGTTAAATGAATATTTTTCTATCTTAGTTTTACTCAACTCACTCTAGTCTTGAAATAAATTTGTCTGGAATTTGAATTTTTATTTCTTCTGTGTGTGTGTGCGTGCGCGTGTGTGTGCAGGCATGCACACCAGGATGCATGGCACATTTATGGAGGTTACAGAACAAATTTTGGAAGTCAGTTCTTTCTTTCCATTGTGGTTTCTAGGTATTGAACACAGGTCATCAGGTTTGCTTGGCAGATGCTTGTCAGACACCTCACCTGCTCAGATGGGATAGAACATTAAGGTATTAAGGTTCCTTCCTTTGTTTCCTCTTTCTTTCTTTCTTTCTTTCTTTCTTTCTTTCTTTCTTTCTTTCTTTCTTTCTTTTTTTCTTTTTCTTTCTTCTTTCTTTCCTCCTTTCCTCCTTTCCTCCTTTCCTCCTTTCCTCCTTTCCTCCTTTCCTCCTTTCCTCCTTTCCTCCTTCCTTCCTTTCTTTCTTTCTTTCCTTCCTTCCTTCCTTCTTTCTCACTATTTGTTTTCACACTATGTTGCTGTGTAACCCAGCCTGGCCTCCACTTTTCAACCCTCCTACCTCAGCCTTTCCAGGGTTCAGATTATAGCCATGAGCCACTGTGTCCAGCTAAAATGTATTTTTAATTATAATTGTAACATCCAGAGATACTGATATTATAAGATGATGTTCTGAGTGGTATAACCCTCTTGGCTGCACATCCAAACACATACCAGGTTTCTTTAAGACAAGACTAACCATTGGGCTTAAGTTTATTTTAAATGCCAGAAAACTTTCTGCATCAATCTCTATGTATGTAAGTATACATAAAAAATACATTAAACATAGCAGGTGTTATTCTGTGCATATGTGCTGTAACTTGTACTTTTATATGTAGTATTTCAGAGTCTGCATATATCTACTTGCTCAACTTCTGTGGACTAGAGCAGCAGTCTACTGTATTCTGTTTTCTTTCTCTTTTAAAACAGTTTCTGCATGCTGCCTTTTATCTCAGTGGACTGCTATCCCATAGCATTTTTCTTGATTGCATTTGAGTTATCCTCCAAACTATATGTTGCCAGCCCATAGTCTTACTTACAGATTACTTTGGTGACTCCTTACTCCATCTTAAAATAGTCTCTTCTCTGGACACTTGTGATTATGTTTTCTTCCTTGTGGTTGTATCTTCTCTATGTTTTACCTTGCTCATCTCACAAAACTTTGTTTCTTTAATCTGCTACTGTCATGTTACTGTTATGGGTTCAAATGATAGAAAGTGCTCTACTTCAAACATCTGTCTAAATTGACATTTCTTTCTAGCCTTGCACCTATGCACTCAGTAACTGCCAGAGTGCTCTAGAAACATTTGTCTCCGTTAAAACTCACATTTATAATGCTTTATTAGTCCCACTGCCAAAGCCAACACAATAAAAAATGAAAACAAAGCCTTATCTATCTGCCTGTTTTCTATCTTAGTTAATGCCATGCTGCCATGTCTTTGCCTAAGTCCAAAGCTATCCTCAACTACTCCATTTCTCCAGATCCAATCAATCACTAAGACATTTCAGTTGTAACTGTTACATGTTTGTCAACTCTGTCCAGTCCTCTCAATTCTTCACAGCCTAGTTGTTGCTGGATCTATCACTTAAGTGATTTCAGCACTTCTGACAGTCCTCCAGTGTGAGCTCTACTGCTTCACTGTGTAGAGAAGCCAGAGTGATGCACCTGACATGGAATTGGCCCTCCCTGTCCGGGCTGTCTTGTAGTGCTTCCTCATAAGCAGCAGGACTTCCAGCTCCTTAACACAGTAGTCAAGGCCACTTACTCTTCAGTAAGCTGCAGGGTCCTAAGACTCTCCCTGAAATGGACTTCCAGGGAGCCCCACCTCACATATTCCCTGCAGTTTCAGGGCTAAAGTCTCCATTTCCTGTTTATTGTGCTAATTCTAACCTTTCCTTCTAGCTATTGGTCTTCAGGAATCAGCTTTCCTGTCCTCTTCTTAGTATTCCCTTAATCAACTCACTAGGACTAGGATTGATACTCTTATGATATCTTCACTGGTTTGAAAAATGATGTGGTGCATACGTGTGTGTGTGTGTGTGTGTGTGTGTGTGTGTGTGTGTGTAGTTGCTCTCTACTAGACATTTGCCTGTGCTTATCTCATTCTTTCAACAAGACTGTAAGAATCTTGGAGAGTAGAGTTTTTATTCTCAATGTAGTGCCCAACATGTAAAGTACCTCAGTGTAGTGCCCAACATGTAAAGTACCTCAGTTAATAACTGTTTTTAAAACAGTAAATTTCAAAACCTGAATATTTGAAATACACACCTATACTTACTCTGACCAATGTCAATCTGATCAAGATTGCAGACCGATCTTCTAATCATTATTGGGCTGCAAGGTAATGAGGCATAAAAGTAAAGCATTTTACATAATATATTGATTATTTTCGCTTTTACATAGGCATGCATGCCTTTGGTTTACTGTTAATTTTTATGTAGTAATTTTGTTTATGATGCTATAGAGTTTCAGTCATTATGAAGATTCCAGCTCTTAGGACATGAGAGCTGAAGCTGCTCCTTAGGAGGCACTCCACCCTTCTGTCTTCTTAACTCTTGGAACAAGATGGCTTGTGTTAAAGCACACTGATAGTGTGCTTTAACTGTTAACTGACACTGAGTGTCAGTCTTCATGTCCTATGTAGCTGAGAAAGGCCATCACTGCGGCTGTCATCGTCCTCTGCTCTGGGCACTGGCATGCAGCTTGTATGCCTTGCCTCTGATTCCTAGGCTGCTCTTGGGGAGACTGACAAGAGGCAGCTGATATTCACATGTGGCTAAGTGATAATGAAGAAAAGGGCAGAGAGTCAAATACATAAGCCGTAGACACATTTTTAAAAAGGGTCTGATTTACTGATACAGAAAAGTCTCGGGGTTAAAAAGATAAAGTAATACCAAACAATCTTTCCTTATCTCTCACTCTCCATTCCAGAAAAGAAAAGGATTATGGTAATTTTAAAAATCAGAGATACCACTATCATTTACAAAGGAGGTTCTTTGGCTTCTTTTTTAAATTTTTCTTGCATACTTATTTTTTTTTTAAAACAGGCGTAATCACTTTATTCTGTAATAGGAGATAAATGGATTTCTATGCAATTTACAAGAGTAAATGGATAGTACAAGTTTTGGCCAAGGTGCAAAGAATTTATAAGTCCTTGGTTGCATTTGTAAATAGCAGTTAGGAGAAAAGGAAGCATATGCTGCCTGGCCTGATACTGTGGACAAAGGACGGAGATAGTGAGCCTGCCATGTGCCTCAGGTTCGGATCCCAGAACTATGGAGGGCTGAAGCAGGAGGATCTCTAGGTGAGCTATTTATAGGCCTTCCCAGAACTTTTTAAAAATGATTCCTTAGATATGTAATATACACAGGGTTTAGAATTAGCTTTTGAAAGTTAATAGTCTACAGTCACATATTAATATTTTTATGATATATAAATGAAAAGTGGTGTTTTATTTAGTGGAAGATTTTTATCTCAATTTCTAAAAAGAACTTATTAGTAGATGTCTAAGGTTTTTGGTAGTTTGTTTCTTTTTTTGTGTGTGGTGAGGGTGGCTTTTGTTGCTAAGATCAAACCCAGAGCCTTGCAAATGCTAGGCAAACCCTTCACAACTGAATCAAGCTCTGTCTTCAGCCTGATATTCTCTTATAAAATCTTTGGAAAGCAAATCTATATGCAGTATTACATGTAATCATGACAATTTAGTGTACTGCTTTTAAGTGTAATTTAATGTACTGTTTCTAGCATTTGATAGCCAAAGCCATAGAAAGCAGAGTGATGGCAGAAGACAGATCTGAAAGCATGAGTTCATGGCAGACTTAGAAGGGACTCAGGCTTATGTGAAAATCTCTGTTGAAATTTTCAAGGATGAAGATCCAAGGTACATACTATCCCACCACACAAACATCCCCTGAGCTGGTCTTAGGCTATCAGAGTGAAGAGCAGAAATTAAAGGAATAATTAAGTATAGCCCAATTTTACTCATAGAATGCTGTTTAAAGTATACCTTAATGGTTGCTTCTCAAAATAATTTCCAAGCCAGTCATTGCTGGTGTGTGCCATGTGTATGTACATCTACACAATAGAATTCTG